GTATACGAGCGATACCACGTGATGCTTCGTCCTCTCTGTCTGTTGAATGATGGACGCATGCGCACAAAGGACGAACATTACTCGTCTACCTTTCTCTCTCGCACACATCTTGGACACAGTTTTCGAGCCAATATTACCCCTCCATGTCTATATGTATACTCAAAGCTGCAGCGCAGAGAGGAGAGAAGCATGCTTCTCCCTGACTGCACTGCCAGTATGAATGCTTGTAACCTTGACAGCAGATTCTAGATTCAGAAGTCAGAACACAGATTAAAAATTGCTAACAATTAGCATCGATTGTATTAGTTTTGCCTCCAATTTTGTTTTGTGTGTTTTTTTTTATTCTCTTTATACATTCTTTCCAGTGATAAAATTGTATACAATATATCAGTTTTCCTCGTGCTGGCATCACAATGTGTGGAATTTTTTGTTCTATATATCAACCCGGACAAGACTCTGAATCCTCTAAACAGGTACAAACGTTATGACCAATTATTGAAAATATAAATGCAATTAGATTTTATTAAATCCTAGAATTTTCAAAAATGTAAACCATATTATTTTTCTTTTTTTTCTTATTAGAAACTAAAAATTTGTTTCTTTTGATTAGATTCTCCATTTTATATGCAATACTGTATTTTTATCTGAAAAGAATTTTGAAATTATTATTTCTATATGAAGGAGATTATAGTCGAACAATAATAATTTTGATAGATAAAAATTATTTTGAAAAATTATGAGATTAATAAATATATAATTTTATCTTCGATTTTATATACATTTTTTTTAACAATATATCTAACTGTAACTCTTATTTACATTCCTTTAAAACTTGATTTTAAACATATATTATAATTGTGATATTTGAATATAAAAGAAGAAAAACGAATAGAAAAATATGTAGAATGCAGTAAAAATGTCTGACCAAAAGAACAGCTTAGGTTTCTGTAAGAATTTTACAACGAAAGTTTAGGTATATGTGAAATTGTGTCAATATTTTATCTCTTATAGAATGAAAGAAACAATAGAAATTTTTTGCTAAATTTAGCACTTGTGCATTTAAATATATAAATTGTGTGCTACTTTTGTGAAAATTTATGATGAGAGTTTGATATTTTGTATTTTTTGAAAAATTACTTAATTCAACAACAGATGCAAAAGAAGCTTGTCGCGTTGTATGATACATTCGTACATAATTGTAATAAACGTAATAAATGTATATTTTTCCCAATAGTTTGATTTAATTTATCTCTATTATTTAGTGGAATATTTGCAAGGATGCAATATCTGCAAGAGGCCCTGATTATTTCATGGAGAAACATTTGACATTGAGTCATGACTGGCACGGATATTTTGCTGCCGCAGTGTTATGGATGCAAGGATTAAGAATAACGATGCAACCAAGTTTGGATGATAATGATAACTTGTTACTTTGGAATGGAGATCTTTTCTCGGGTTGTTTGGTATGTAAATCATATGTATGGAATATTTCGATCAATGCTTTTAATAAATATTAAAGATAATTTTCAATTTAATGATGTGCAAAATATCCAATATTAAATCATAGTAGCTGCATTCAGAAATATCACTCCTCAGTGTCATTTTATCCTTATTTTGTTCTGACTGAATGTTGAATAAAATGATGCTGGGACACCTCTGGCTGGGACATCTCTGAACAAGTGTGTAAAAAATACAAAAGTAAAATTGAACTCGTGATCAATTCTGAGTCCTTTGAACAAAAAAATTACAATTAAAGAGAATATAGATAATTAACCAATATTTATGCGTGTGTATAAGCAATTATTACACGTATTGTAATAATTGCAATTGTCCAACAAATGCCATAATAATCCATGTTTGTTTTAGGCAAAAGACGATGTTTGTGATACAAATATCATATTAGCCGAATTACAATCGACTACAGATATCATGTCTGTGCTTCGAAAGATCGAAGGCCCTTACTGTTTAGTGTACTATCAAAAATCAAGCAATATGTTATATTTTGGACGAGATATTATCGGACGGCACAGTTTACTTTTGAAAGTAGATAACAAAACAAATTCATTGACTTTAGCCTCAGTTGCAAATAAAAAAATTAGGGGAATTGTAGAAGTACCAGCTATAGGTATCTTTGCAATAAATTTAAATACGTCACGAATAAATTTAGCATGCTATCCATGGAAAGAACCTGACTTGAGGTTTACGGATGTTATTGAAATTTTGGAGACAAATTTAAATGTAGATATTGACATTAAAGAGACTATATTGAACACTTGTTCGTCGGCGCTGATAAATTTACATCTGCATCCTAATCCAAAAGATGTGGAATATCTAGAAAATGTACCATGTAGTAAGAATTTTAATGAAGTATTGCAATATCTATTGAAAAATGCAGAGGTAAATGAAAGAGTCGAATGTTTGACGGAACTCCTGCATCAGTCTGTGAAAATCAGAGTAAAAAAGAAACCAAATTATTGCAATAACTGCATGAAAATCGTGCTAAGCGGCGAAAGTGTTACTTGCACCCATTCCAAAATCGGTATATTATTTTCTGGTGGCTTAGACTCAGCAATTTTAACAGCAATTGCTGACAAATACGTTCCAGAAGACGAAAGTATCGATCTTATTAATGTTGCATTTGAAAGATCTGGAAGCACAAACCAGAACACAAGTCACAGCGAAAAGGGAAATACAACGCAAAAATATGATGTACCAGACAGAAAAACTGGACGACAAACATACTCGGAATTATTGCAAATTTGTCCCAACAGGAAATGGAATTTTATACAAGTACAGTATCTAAATGTTCGAAATATTGTTCTTGAATTTCGATATATTTTTCAAAAAAAAAAAGAAAAAAAAGGTATCGTGTGTATTTGTGTGTGTGAAACCATATTTCTAATTACAATGCTTATTTCAGTGTAACATTACGCAAGTGGAATTGCAGCTGTATCGTGCATCGCGAATTTGTGATTTATTGCATCCATTATGTACAATCCTGGATGAGAGTCTAGGGTGTGCCATGTGGTTTGCAAGTCGAGCAAAAGGTGTTCTCTACCCATGCAACGAAGCGTATGAGTCGCCATGCAGGATATTGCTTTTAGGTATAGGCGCTGATGAATTATTTGGTGGATACATGAGACATAGAACTATATTGAGACATAAAGGATGGGATGCGCTGGTACAAGAATTAAATATCGAATTGGCCAGGATTTCCGAAAGAAATTTAGGTCGGGACGATCGGATTGTCTCTGATCATGGGAAACAATCCCGTTTGCCGTATCTCGACGAAAATCTAGTGAAATATGTGCAGCGTATAAAACCATGGGAGAGGTAAATTTAAATATTAGTAAACTACAATTAGTAGCTATTATTACTAATGAATATATAAATTATTGGCAGATGTTATCCGACTGAAAAAATGCCAAGTGGATTGGGAGATAAGTTATTATTACGTTTGCTAGCCTGTAAGATTGGTTTTCAATGTACAGCTAATTTTCCTAAAAGAGCTTTCCAGTTTGGCTCGCGAATTGCAAATAGTAAAGAAAATGCTAATGATATATCAAATAGATTATAAAATGTAAGTAATATACTGTTTTTACCTTTTGCAAGTATTGTCTGTGCATTACAGAAAAAAAAGAAAACGATATTATTTTAAATTGTAAGTCAAAAGAGTGATGATTTCTGCTGTTGCGGCTACATTCATTTCAGCAGATATAGATTAGAACTGCAATGTCTACAATATTCCCAGCTACGTCATTACAGAAATGTTATAATGTTGCTACATTATTGCAGTTATAATATATAATAATAATAATCTGTTTGTTGAGATGCTATTGCTGCTAGTTTTAATTATGTGCATGTGTGCGCGCGCGCGCGTGTGTGTATGTGAGTGTGTGTGTGTGTTATAGCTTTAACAATTTTTTACATTTTGTATGTGTAAATAATTTAATTGATATAGATATAAATATATATATTATTTATCATTATTATCTATATTATTATTTATCATATTTATTATAGTAAGTTAACGTTGTCATATTTATTGCAGACAAATATATTTAGCGTTACATTTAATTAATTAATCTTGTATTTGCTAAACTGTAAAAACTTGGTCGATACGTATAAAAGAGTTACATATGCAAATACAAACTTTTCGTCGATTTATTAATCGCTGCAAATACAAGTAGAATATGTAATATAGAGATTGTTGAAAATTTACTGGCAAATATACATATATACATGCATATACATATGTATGTATGTATGTACAAGAAATGTAAATATATTTAAAAAAAATTTATATACATATGTATATATAAAAGAAATGTCGAGTTATTCATAAAAATGTTAATAATTTGTTTTATATAAAATTACTTTATTTTTTTAAGTACAAAAGATAATTGGCAAATGTTTCGACTTTGTTGCCTGTAACAAAGTTGTGCGTTTTATTATATGTATAAAAAAATTGTTATGTATTATGTTACGTATGTATGTATATACATGCATACGTATGTATGTATGTATGTATGTACATACATACATACGCATACTTATGTTATCCGTCGAAAATATCCGTGGCTACGTGGTTCAACGTGTACATGCATGGAGGCGCCAGTGGATAGATTTTATTTTATACGCCAGGAGTATTCTCTCTCAAGAAGAATTCGAATATAGAAAAAGCCAGTTGTGTGGTCGCTGGTCGGATGTCGTAGGATGTCAACTACTTGGGTGCGTTCCGCGAAGCGCATCATGCGCACGATATATCATGGTGTCCTTGTTGTTCATCAAACGTTAAACAAAGATAAAAAGATAAATCTTGCGCATGATGCGCTTTGCGGAACGCAGCCCTTATGTTAAAGTTTCAAGTGCCAGTGTCGAAAACAATTAACTAGCTTTAGTTCGTATTGGAGTATCTTTGTGTTAAATAAAGTACGTTATTTAAATAACATAATCCAAAAACTTGATGAATTTGTAAAATTTGATGTTATAAAGAATAACCTTTTATAAAAGTAATACGTGGATAGAATTGATAGGTTAATAACGATCCTTCACGATTAACCTTAATATCATGTATGCATAAATCTTTTGTGCATGTGTATTTCACATTTGAGTCTCGCTCAACACAAAATATCGTAATCAAGTTTTCCATTATTTTCTTCGTTATTTATTATATTATCTTGACTATGTTAGATTGAGAATATTGAAACACAAGTTCTCATTGCAGTTTATCATGATCAAAATTAATTTAGCACTAACATGACAATTTAGCACTAATATGATAAAGCCCTTCACTGAATTGAAATTATATTGTATGAGAGAGAGAGAGAGAGAGAGAGAGAGGAGACAACGAATATAAATCACATTCCGAGTATTAGTATAAAAAAATAAACATTGTTTATATATTCCAGTGTGTACACATAGCAGCACATACACACAGCAATTTTTATGAGATTTTTTTACAGTTTTGTCTTTAATCACAAGTTTTATTAGCTATGTTTGATAGAAATAGTCATTTGACGTACAGATTTGTATTGCATATGCACAAAGAAGTACATAATTTGAATCTATATATATGTATGTGTGTGTGTGTGTGTGTGTGTGTGTGTGTGTGTGTATGTGTGTGTGTGTGTGTGTGTGCGCAACATAAAGTATGTATTTACTGTAACATAATGCACAAGATTTCTGTTATTTCTTGCAGATATATGTTATGGAAGTAAGCATTAATTAATTAGGAAATCATGAGAAAAGAACATGGCTGAGCACAACAATGATCTTTATGAGCAACAGCTTTTTGCTGTATTTAAAAGTTGTTTGACGAAAGGAGAGGATGAACTTGATGAGAATGATCTGTTTTCTATTTGCAATAAATTACACCTCAGCGAATTGATCGAGGAATTGAAATTATGCATTAGCAAACATCATCCAACTAAACAGACGATATCCTTTCATGAATTTCGAGATGGTCTCTTACTCTTGTTGAAAAAATTCCATGGTTTAATCAGCGATAAGCAATATATTGTACAGCCATACCATAATTTAAATATATCCAATCTTGATATTGAGAAAAGTCAAGTCAGTTTACCATTGGTCACGAGTGCTTCATCGAGGGTTCATCTTCAAGATATGAAAGCTGTCGTTACAATGGATGAGAATAGACTGACACACTTATGGGAGAAAATTAAGATTTACTTAACCAGAGGAAACACAGATCCTGCGACAATGCAATTTATCTCGAGTTGTTTAGAAATTCCACAACTCCCGAAACAGATTGCAGAATCTATCTTTGAGAGTCTTGATCACAATTGCGATGGATTGATAAGCTTCGATGAGTTTGTAATTATATTTGAAAAAAGAAAAAATGTTGAGATTTTGCGAAAGGATGCTGCATCTCACGACAGTATTGTAAAATGTGATGTAAATACATTAGATTTTAATACATCTCGTGCATCTCGTGAAATTAATCCGATGCAGAATGCTAATGGAGATTCGGATAAAGAGGAAAGAGTCGCTGGTGTTTCTAATGCAACCACACTATCGTCCAGTGGAGATCTTGATACTTTGAATACGAGTCTTGCAGAAATAACAAATATCATATGCGACGAACTCAAGAGTTTGAATGAATCGTTAAATAATAGTACCATTCAGACTCATATTAGTTTATTACGAGAAATGATGATTACCCATCAGGATGAGCAACGCAATCTCATTGCTATAATAGACAACATGAAAGTGGAAAAAGAGAAGATGCGAATTGACATGTTGGAGGCTAACGAACGGGCAAATTTACTGGCACAGGAGATTGATGAATATCATATTCAACTGGAAAAGACGAAGAAAGATTTGCAGAGACAGAGCGAACAACGTTATGCTGAAATTACGAAAGAATTGTCGGATCAATTTAATATCGAACGGGAGATGGATGCTGCGGCTCTAAAATCAAAGGACGATCAATTACAGACGGTACAAAAGGAAAATCACGATATGAAGAATAAAGTTGTAAATATTTTGCAAGAAAGTCAAATGCTCGAAGCGGAAAATAAAACTCTTGTTGGTCAGATTGAAAAGTTGCGGCAATCTAATAACGATTTGTTAACTCAACTAAAAGTATTAGACGCTGAGCACGATGAGATAGAAAGTATAGAAGCTAAGCAACAGGAGCAAGTTAATTTCTTCGTCGATCGTATTAAACAATTGCAGTCCGAAGTGACTCTTTTGCGAGATCAAAATGACGAACTTGGTGCAGAATTGGAAACTTTCAAATGTTACAGCAAAGAAAATGTTACGAGATACGACGACGAGATACCGTCGTCTTTGGCGTACGATTTACAACTTGATAACAATGAAGATGAAAACTATATGAGTATGATCACACAGGAGTATCAAGTAGATCGACAGATCAATGATAAAACGTCTTTTGGCTCTGGAATCATATCGGTAGACGAAGGTCAGACCGATCCAGACATATCCAGGTCTGATACAATGCAGAAATACAAAAGAGATACAATTGAAGATGTAATTATAAAAGATCTGGAAAGAGTATTATCAACGAATATAAAATGCTTGCCAGAGAGGTGTGCTTTGAGAGATAGTGTAACGAAATTAATCACTGGCGTGCGATCGAACTTTGCGCCACGTTGTTTCACGTTGCAGCAAGACTTTGGAGAAAGTATAGCGTCTGAGCTTGAAATGGAATGTGAGGAACGAGCTAATGAGTCCTTGCGAGATTTAGTTGTTTCGAAAATACTAAATAAGCCACCTACCGCCACGAAACGTACGACTACATCGTCAAATAGCGCAGAAGATACGGATTTGGATAATTTCACTAGTCAAGATGTAAAAAATCTAACGCAAAATAAAGCAACGAGTCTTAGAGATTACCCACCGCGAAAAGAAGAACATCATATATATACGGATCAATGCAAAACTAGAGAGAGCAGAGAGAGAAATAGTTGTCCGAACGTTACAGAAGTCGAAAGTGTCGTTCCAAGAATGACAATGACAATGACAACAAACGTAGAATTATTAGAGATGGAGAAGAAGCAATTGAACGAGCGTTGTCAAGAACTCGAACGAAGTTTAGACTTATTAAAAGCAGAATATGAAGAATGTGAAGATTATTGGGCTGCCAAATTAGAAGAGGAAAGACAGCTCTTTGAACAAGAACAAAAAATAAGTGACGACAAACTTGCCGAGCTTATTAATAAAATAACAGAGTACGAGGAATTAATCAGTCCCTCAGATAAATTAAAAAGTAACGGACGGTTGTCTCCCATAGAAGAAAAGTTTAACTTGGAACAACAGGTGAGATAAAATCTTGTATTCACTTGTACTTAAATCTGTGTTTGTTCTCGAAATATTTCATTACATATGCGTTTTATTATGCTCACATACACACACTCATATTATTTTATTGATAAAAATATTTTTGCATCTTTAACATTTGCATTCATTTATTGCATGCATTGCACACATTCACTTATATATTGATAAAAATATTTTTGTATCTTTAACATTTCAGTATATAGATCTCGAGGAAGAATTTGAGAAATGGAAGATAAAAACTGAAAACAACATTTCTCAGAAGAGTCTAGAAATAAGAGATTTGCGTGAAAAATTAAGACTGGTAGAACAACCAATTACAAATGATTCCTACGTACAAGTCCCAGACGAAATTTCTTTAGCAACATTCTCAGATTCATCACACTGTAAATCTTCCAGTATGTCTAGTATTCTATCAACGAACGAAATATTCGTAAATATGGATTTATGTGGCACAAATAATCAACCATGTCATACTTCGGTGGAATTTCCATTATCTAACAATCTCAACAGATTGTTGAAACAAGGTGATCACATTGACGGTCATAATCTGTATTATACGCATACTGAATGCCCTGTGAAAGTAATAAAAGGTATAAGTAGAGATCCAAAGTTATATCACAATAGTTCACATATTACTGATAAAACCACGTTGGCAATGAAAGAGGACGATAAGTGCGAATCAGAATTTAAATTGATACGTGATGTACTGAAAGAAAGCAGCTGTACGTGCTCACAGAATAATGTTCAACAGCAAGTAGATTGCGTCGATTTAAACATTTTTCAAAACTTAAAAATGAAACTTTATGCACAAGAACGCAAGAAACGGCATTTGCAGCGTTATATTAAACAACAGCGGCAGTACATTGAAAAATTATTGCAACGTAAGTTTTTTTTTCTTTTTTTATTTATTTTGTGCGATACCATTATTATAAAATAATTTAATACATCTTTCTCTTCCAAGATTATATGTTTGTATGAAAGATTATTCTCTTTTGGTTCAAGGTTTTAAATTTAAAGAATTTAAAAAAATTATTGCAATTTATTTTTCCACAGGTATTATGGTGCAGCACCAGATGGAAGTATGCGAATTACAGTGCCTTCTTCGTAATACCCAAGAAAATCTTCACATACAGGTTCAAACAACTGTTGATCAGGTACGTAGAAAATTAATAGATATTTTTAAAAATATGCATTAATTTTGAAATATACAGAATGGTTAATCAAAGCTAAACTTTAATGATAAAGCTAATGTAAAAATTAAACTGCTGAATAAAATAAATTTCTATCATTATGCTCTTTATCTCAATAGGCTGATAAATTAGCGAGTGCTGATATATTGGTGAAGGATTTGTACATAGAAAATGCATGTCTAACGTCACATATGAAACGTTTACAAGAACGATATTTCATCTTAACGGGCCTTGATATCGGATCGACTTCGATATGATGTCTACAAATAGTTATTACTTATTATAAAAAAATAAAATCAATGTCTCTTTGTATATATCAAATAATGTATCTTATTTATTTTATTATATAAAATTATTAATTAATGTGATACCGTAAGACCGCGATGTAACTCAGGGATACAGACGGTCAGAAAATGTGTTGTAATACATGTGCCTTCAGTTTTTAATTTGACTTAAAGTGAGAAATTTGGCTTTAATATTGTATATCAATAGTATAATATCATAGAATGGTTAGTTAATCTAATTGTAAGTCGCTTTTATCGCTTTTTTTTCAGAGAGAGCGATTGTATGATAAATAGAAAAGAAACATATATATATATATATATATATATATA